ATCTGCACAACTTTATGCCGATTATATCCCCAATTTTGTGTAGAAAACAACCTTCAATAGTTCAGCATTGCAATATTATTTCCAATCCACCCCCCCTCCCCCATGTTTCTTATGTTTTCTATGCCAAACAACCATGTGCAAATTTTGTGCAGAATAAGTCCCAACTGTAAATATTCTTATCAGTCCAGGATTCTTCTTTCTCAACATGTGAAAAACATTTTTCAACCATTTTCCAAATATTCTTTCACTTTCCATTGGATACATTTCTCAACAAAATTGACACGCCAGTCATTGTATACAATGTATTTCAATATATAATACTCTAGCAGTGTAGATCGATCATTTTCCTTTCACAGTACAGAATTTTGTGGTTCTACTTTAAGTGTCATAGCAACTTCTTAAAGGATCCAAGTATTGGTGGTCTAGCATTGGTTATTTAGAATTATCTGCCAGACAACTGTAGTGCTTCCCCACACTACCAACCACATATGTCATAGACATGGCAGTTACTATGAAATAGGATTATAATTTTGTAGTGCAAAAAGACCAATGGCTTTGAATATTTTGATATTCAAAAACCAAATTTAAAATAGTACCTTTCCTACCTGACTCCTGTTTAAACAGACTTCTTTCTCACTTTCTTGCTTACTAGGCTACATTAAAGCTCTATTCCATGAAGCTCACTCATAAACCAGGTCTACTGCAGCTCCAAGTTTACTTCCTGTCATTTATTTATTTTATTTATTTATTTGATATACTTGTACCCTGCCTTTCTCACCCCCAAGGGGGGACTCAGAGCAGCCTCACAGCAAACACCATTCGGTGCCATCATAATTATAAAAACAATCAAAAATTCATTAAAAACAAAACATTAAATAAACAGTTGCTAAAACACAGCAATTAAAATCTGGGCCTGGGTCAATTCATTGTCACTTCAAAATTGCTTATGTCTTTTTCATACAAGCCGCTATTCAATGGTCAAATGCAAGGTCTCACAGCCAAGTCTTGAGTTTCCTTCTAAAGGACAAGCGGGAGATGGACAATCTGATGTCTTTGGGAAGGGAATTCCACAAACTTCTGACTGAATTCCTCATCCAGGCATTCAGACAGAGAGCCACTGTTGAGAAGGCCCTGTCTCTTGTCTCCAGCAATTGCGTTTGTGACGGCAGTGGGATCAAGAGCAGGGCCTCTCCAGATGATCTTAAACTTCATGATGATTCATAGCAGGAGATACATTCAGACATGTTGTCTGGGCCAGAACTGGGCCAGAGGATTAAAGGTTAGAGTCAGCACTTTGGATTGTGCTCAGTAGCAGATTGGCAACCAGTGGAGTTGGAGTAAAAGAGGAGTTGTATGCTCTCTGAGCCTTATCCCTGGCTTTGTAAATGTTTCACTTGCCTTCTCTTCTTCACCCAGAGAGAACAGAAGTCTTCTCCCTATCCCTTCTCACATACTTCAGAGTGTAAGATCCTCCAACGTAGTTTTTGTTCCCATAAAGAAAAAATAATGAATGTGCTATGGGGAAGGAAAAGGCAGCTCTCTCCGTCTACTGTTGCTCTAAAGTGCCTATAAAGTTTTGTGATGGATTTAGCAAGTTAATGAGATAAATTTCCATGCTGCATGATTCAGAATAATTAATTTAATAAGTGTGTCATCTGAGGAAAGTAAATAAGGGGAGACGTGAATGATCACTGGAGCATATATGAGTGAATAGAAAAACAAAAGCACCAGCCAGACACTGAATATTAAAAGCTGGGGGAGATTTTTCTTTGTCTGGTATTATTTGGGTTGGCAAATTCAAACTTTCTCCTTATATATTACACAGTGAGGATAATCAACCTCTAGGATTTTACGAGTTAGACCGCTCTTTGAACACCAGCACGGAATTTGGATATATGTGTAAATATAGGCTGTTCTTCCAAAGATGATGAATCTGTATAATATCACAACAAAATAAATATCACCTGTAACCTGGTGGAGAGAGTTAGGGAAAAAATTCTAACGAGAACGTGCTTCCTTTAAAATTGGTGGCAGTCGTGTATTTTCACAACAATACAATAAATATACATATGGTACAGAATAAACATTTATCCAATTATATTAGCCACTTAAAAGTATCCAAGAGGCTAGAACAGATCCACAGATTGCCATGTGGCCATTCATGGTATACAACGTTTGGTGTCACAGAACTAATTTGTTTCCTATTTTATTCATGTTTTCAGATAGGTCTTTTCATATAATACAGTGGTGAACTCCACCGCTAATAGAGGAGGAGGAGGAGGAGATGTGCACTGAAACGGGACAGGGTAGCATTTGACACTGCAGATGTTGTTGGACCTTAGCTCATCCTATTCCTAACCATTCAACTGTCCCTGGCTGTGCTGCTCCCATTTCCTCATCCAGGCATTCAAAAAGTGGAGAGAGTAGAGGCTGTTGGTGCTTATTTGTTTTGTCCCAGAATGAGTTAAGCTCTTGCCTTTTAGAGAAGAAGTTTCTTTTTGAATAGGAGTTAAGGTATTGTACTGAATTCACATTGATCCATGGATGAATCAATCCAGTTTTAGGGCTTGATTTCTTTACTTAACTTTTCTGGAATTATACTGGAGTACTATATACGAGGGGTATTTTTTTAAGTAAGGTCCATTTTGTTGTAGACACTAGTAGTTTGCGCGCATACCACAACGAGCACATGCGTCGTGTACCGGCATGCCTCGGAAACAACTGTGCTCAGTTTCCACTCTGTAGCTAACCTGTACGGTTCTGTTCTGTGCTTTAAAAACGTTTAAGACTATCAACTCACCCGCCGCATGTGAGGTTCGCTCAGTGATACGGTTTTTGTCAGCAAGGAACCTGCCTGCTGCAGAAATTCATCGACAGATTTGTGAAGTGTACGGTGATACTGTTATGAGTGAAAGCAAAGTACGTAAGTGGGTACAACAATTCAAAGATGGCCGTGACAACGTCCATGATGAGGATCACTCTGTTTGCCCTTCTTTGATTACAGACGATTTGGTGGCTTCAGTTGAAGCGAGGATTTATGAGGAGGGTATTTTAAAATTGGTTCAGAGGTATGATAGGTGTTTGAACAAACTTGGCAACTATGTCGAAAAATAGAGTGAAGTATGTAATTTCTGAAAATAAATTTACTTTTTTGAAATAAACTTTCGTTGTGTACTTATGACCCAATGGACCTTACTTAAAAAATACTCCTCGTACAATACTTCCCAGGGATTACGCTGCTTGTAGATTTCCTGCCACCACATTTGCCACTAGCAGCTGTGGTGGCTCTTTGTGGACCAGGTTAGTAATCAAGTATCTTTCCACACTATAGAGTTTCCCATAACCATAGAGCAGATTATCTATTTTTCTTCCAGAAGTGAAAGAGGAAGAAAGGAATAGAAAATGCTGGCATAATTTGGTGATGGTTCTGGAACTGTGGGTGGATGGAAATATCACAAAATAATATAAGAGCCACATAAAATTCACAGGATGTGACGTGCAGATCACATGTTGAACAACCCTGCTCCAGACAGTCTTCTAGGTACTAGCAGTGAATCTTGTCATGCAAATACATTCCTTCACAACAAACTGATAGCCACTATTACAGCTGATGCTTGTTTACCATAAGAGCCTAACAAGTAAAGAGCACACACATTCAAAATATATACCAGATATATATGCTCAATGCCCCGAGAGAGTGGTAACACTGAAGTATATTATGATTCAACCATCCATGATTACATATATAGAGATGGGAGCCTAGAAAATGGAGTTGTTGCTGTAGTCACCCTGCCCATGAACATTCCTACGGAGTAAGATGACGGCAAATTTTGCTGAATATCTACTGAAAGAGGGTTGGTTGGGCACAGAAAAAAATGTTTCAGAGGCTGGATCTAACTTGTGGACTGTGAGAGCATCCCATTAAATGTTTTCTTTTAATGAAATACAACACCATATATCTGTATGCTAAGACAAAATGTAAATAACAGATAAAGATTATAGGCAAGGCAAGTTTTACCATGATAGAATGAATTGCAACCTTTTAAGGTATTAATTCCTACAGAACTACCTTTCTCTGCCTTTACTTTTGTGCCCAATTGGGAAAAAAACCAAGTTATTAGGCAGACCAGAGTACAACAACATCTTTGACTTAGTTTCACTTGTGAAAATATGAAAAACCAGCATAGTTCATGAGCTACAGGTATATTTCTTTTCCACTGTTCATTTTCTATAATAGCTATAAAGTGTTTATGAATATATGCAATACTGAACTGAGCAATATCCAAATGCTGTGCTTTGTAAAAATCATTCACCAATTCCATCTAATGACCACATTAGAAATTCACCTGCATTTGAGGATTAAATGTATGTAGAAATCGCTGGAAAATGATAATAGCCATAAAAAAAGGAAAAACCTTATTTCCCCTATAAATTCCTTCACTCTTTAGAAGGCTTAGCAGTAAATGTTAAGACAGTGTTTTATAACTTTCAGGTATTTTACATGCCTTTTACTCTGTTTGAATACCAAGATGATTCCCTTTCCAAAACACTACCATCTCTAAATAACAGAATAGTGAACACTGTTAACTAAGTGTATCAATCATTAGAACATCATTTTCTGCTAAATACCGGAGGTGCAAAGATCAACATTCCTTTGTCACTTTCAAATATAAGAGGTCCCATTGCAAGGTACAGTTTGCCACTATCTGCATCCTTCAGTAATAAACATGTCCTCAGTATTCAGGGAAAAAACTTCTTGTGGGAAAGGGAATATTTTTATCTATGCAAGTGGTAATTCATTACTCTGTTCTACAATGTTTCACAATCCAAATTCAGTTTTTTTTAAAAAAAGGAAAGACTTGACCTGTTTTAATTTGTACTCACATCTGATCACACTATTTCCAGATTGGTAGGCAGACTTTTATCCCACTGCCTGGGATACAACTGTGGTGGAGAAGCAGCTACTGTGAGCAAACTTTTGATAATATATAAAGACTTACCGGCAGTGTTTGTGGGAACCTGTTAAGGTTTCAATGACGAAGCATTCCCCATCGTTGAGACAGTATGCAAGATCCTTATCTTTGCATGGCTTAAAGTGCTCAGATTGCTCAGTGGAGTATGTTGTGGTATCTGTAGAGAAAGCAAAATGGAGAAAAATGTGGTCAGTATAGAAAAATATACTGTTCTTCAGTTCTTAAAACATACACGCATGGCTGGTGGCTTTTGAGATGGTGAATTCATTCCAGATTTGAGCCAAAATCTAAAAAACCTCTCTGAAGTGTTGAACCTCATTTGGGATAGGATTCAACTTCTTGGATAGCTTCTTTAAAAATGCATTCACCCCATGACATGAGAACCAACCATGATCAACTCATATAAGTAAAGCAGTAGGAGCACATATTGGAGTTATCCTGGAATAAAATAAGCAATGACCAAATGTGTAGCATGTCAAGCCAAAGGTAAACCCATGATGAGAACTAGCAAATAAAAGTGTAAAGTCCAGCAGAAATATTGGAAGTCAAGCAAGAAGCATCTGACAAAAACAAATTTAACCTTTAGCATCTCCAAGTATGACTGAGAAATGCAGAAAATCTAGAATGTGGGCAGTATTGAACAGAATGACCAATTAGAATAAGGAAAGACCTCATCACATTGTTGCCTCTTAGGTAAATTGGTGACGCAGTGGAGTAATCTCGGTGCCCTGCCGGCAGACAATCTTCCCCATCACATGTGGGGAAGTGTTGCTGTGCAGCTTCCCTCCATGCTAATCACATTGTTCCTAATGGAACATGGGAAGGCTCTTGTGTGGCTGGCACATCATTGTAGGAAGCTTATTCTCCAGTTGAGCTCCTGAGCCCCACCAAAAGCCTGCATTGTCTGATGGGCATTGTGGGGCTCCGTGGCTCCACCGGGGCCAAAGTGTCCTAGGACATTGAAAACTGATTGTGTGATGAAATTGCGTGACTCTTGTTTTTGGCCTTTTTATATGTTGGTTTAATAGAATTAGATTAGATTAGTAAAATAAATAAATGTATATTGCTTATTGCAATTGTCATCTCTAAAAGTTTGGGTATCAGCCAGCACGCCAACGACTTAAATCTAGACATAGTTTTCTAAGATCTACAGAGACACTTGCTGGAACACCTCAGCAAGCGAGAATCCAAAAGTGGCAGGCTCAAACCCAGAACCTCAACCAATGACTGATAGCAAATGAGAGACTCCCCCCTGGGCACACAGAAAACTGGGCGACTTGGAAGGCGCTGAACAGACTGCGCTCTGGCACCACGAGATGCAGAGCCAACCTTAGGAAATGGGGCTACGAAGTGGAATCCTCGACATGCGAATGTGGAGAGGAGCAAACCACTGACCACCTGCTGCAATGCAACCTGAGCCCTGCCACATGCACAATGGAGGACCTTCTTGCAGCAACACCAGAAGCACTCCAAGTGGCCAGATATTGGTCAAAGGACATTTAATCAACTACCAAACTCACAAATTTTGTATTTTGGCTGTTTGTTTGCTTTGTTCTGTTAGAAATGTAATATAAGTGACTGGTTGCCCTGACACAACAAATCAATAAATCTCTAAAAGTGTGTTAATTATTTTTCCACCTAGCCCAATCAACTTTTGGATTTCAACTCTCTGGCTCAGACTATAGCACAACTATATGATCCTAAAAAAGGATTTATGCATGTCTGTGTCTGTGATACAGTGCTAGATACCGCAGAATTGAACCAAATGTTTTGGAATTGTGCATACTGCATTGTCAAGATTCAAATTTAAAACTAGGAGGAAGATTTTTTTAAAAAACGAAACCCAAATAAGAAACTGTTATTACTCAGCAGAACATTATATGTTTCAAGGGCTATCAAATAGGAATTGGCTCTCTGGGGCCCTTCTGCTCTGTTGCTTCAGATATAAAAAAGGTAGGAAAAAGGAGATGAATATGAGAAGATAAAGGCATCACAGGAGATCCCTGACATTTGAAAAAGCAAGGAAATGAGATAAGATTTTCTTAGGTTTTGTTGGGTTTTTTTTCATTTTTCTAAATATTGAGGAAAGGGTATCAGCAACCCTTTCTGAGGTATTAGGTACAAATGTGTACCTAATACTATCTTTGGTAGTGTTCTATAATTGGTAAAGCGCTAAACAATGTTAGCGATGGAAACCTTCGTAATATTACAAACTATGGGCTAAACTTCACATTAGACTTTTTAATCCAAGACATTATAATAACCCTTCTAAGTATTTCCTTAAGCCTTAATTCAGTGAGAGTATTTAACCATCACTCTGAACATTTTCATCCCCGGCTTTACTCTTTCCCATGTGTGCATGATGATACTTTGCAAAGTGCATCACATCTAGGAAAGGTTAATTGAAATTTTGTGCATGAAGCAATGTACTACAACAACAGCACACTGATGACTGAATAAACTTTGACTTCCTAAAGTGGAAAAGAAGTCAAAACTATTTCTCTAGAGTTTACGACTTTCTATGTTCATTGTAGTACAAGATAAAAGATTTCTACATGATACTGCCTGCTCTGTTCCTCCAAAGACCACACTTTTTTGGTTGTTTCATTGTAGCATCATTAAATTTTTAAAAGGGATGTTTAGAACATGGTGTTTTTATAGAGAATCAGAGCCAGCAAGTTCCTGACTATGAAAAGAAAGGGAAGAAAACACTACAGGGGCTATAGAAAATAAAAGTTTTGCGTTTCACAACTGGTCTTCTTTAGGTAGATTATGAAAAATGTTGTCCTCTAAAATAAAAGTAAGAATTCTTTCATTTTCCAGAACTGTTGAACTTTAACTCCCAGAATCTGTGGCTAATTGGCTAGTGCCATAAACCAACAGCAATCAAAAAGCAACATGAGTTGTGACACATCGCTCATTATGCTATATTTCCCATGATAAATATTAGGCTTCCACATAATCTGTCTATTGAATTCTTTTTGTTATTCACAGTACCCTCATCATTAGGAATATCAAACTGGATTATAACCAAATTATTTATCCACAACCATATCATCCTGAACACATCTAATTTCACATGATTTCAGAAGTAACGTATGATGGGGTCTGGTTACTATCTGAATAGAAGACTATGATGGAATATCAAGGATCTCTGTAGAAGGCTACAAAAGAATCTTCCCTGAAATATGGCCAACCAGTGTCTGTTAGGAATGAATGGACAATTTAACTCAATATAATAACATTTCCTATCTAACTCAGTACTATCAAATCTGGATGGCATCAGCTCACCCATTCCTTTGAACCCATAATATTTCTTATGCCTTTATTGCATGGAGCAGACAAACAAGCATTGCAGCTGAACCATTAACTGACATGAAGTCATGGATCAGTTTCTGGTGTGTTGAAGACACCAGCATACTTCCATGCCATGAGTTTCATAACCAAGGTGAAGGAATGAAAACATCTGAGGCTGAGAGTGTGGGTTTTGGGGATTGAAACTGAGAAGTCGCCTGCATTTTCTTTATTCGTAACTTTGCTATATAGTAGTAATCTAGCATTAAAGTAATGTCTGATTTCCTTGTGAGTGGATTTAACTGCTACAAAGGTTCTGCAAACATCACACATAATGCTGAGCACATCCCAATCTGCAGTCTCTCTCCTCCCCATGATTATCCCATTTCTAGCTATTGAAGGGTAAAAGCTGCTAATAGCTCTCAGTCCCACAATGTTACTATCACCTGACTTGTTGCAATGGGTCCCTTCCACTTCCTAGTGGATTGCCAGAAGTATAATGATATCAGCAGCAGGATTGTACCCCTCTCTTTTCTTTGTCATTATTCTTTGTCATTGTCCAAACACTCTGAGACATTTGATGGAAACAGAAGTTTTTGTTTTTGTCTGATGTGAAATGTCTGTATTCAGTCCAAGATTTCAGAAATAGAACTGTTTATGAAGTGCATACATTCACAAATGCACAGATTAATATGAATATGCATTATGCATGAATGGACATTGCACATTAATGTAGTCATAAATGCTAGGCTTGGGCAGTTTTGTTCGTTAATTTCGTAATTCGTTATTAATTCGTATTTAAATTAGCTTACGATCCAATATTGAGCCATGCAGGAATAGTGTGAGGAGTAAATTGGATTCGAAACAATTTTTCCAATTTATTTCGTAATTATTTCGTAATTATTTTTGCATGTCTGGTGCAAGTTTTATAGTTGTTGTTTGTTTTATCACACCAACAGTCAACAACAGAGGGAGAGGGAAGCTTCAGAAGTTCCCCCTGTCCCATTTGGAGGTTTTTTTTAGCATATTGCGCAATCGCGTCCGCCATTAACGAATCGATTCGTAATTTTACGAAATTTTGGAAATTTCGAAATTTTTAAAAGCAAAATTTCGGAATTCTTTTAAAAAACGAAACACAAGGGCCCCCTAAAAACGAAACGAGTTTAGAACCAAATTTTTCCGTGGTTACCCAAGCCTAATAAATGCACATGCACATTTGGTTTCTTGGTTCAGTTGTGTAACTTTGCCATTCAGCATAAGGATTGTACAGCACAATTAAGACATAACTTTATATGAAGTGATTTATGCTTTGCAACCCCTGTGTAAGATAATGTTGGGGGGAAATAAACCAATGTAATGTCTGCAAGGCAATCTAGAATTCATTGTTTTTATCAAATGTTTTCAAGGAAAGAAATTCATATTCATACACAAAATGAACTTGCTTCTGTATAATTTTATATTTTGCGTCCTTGTGAGTTTTGTTGTTGATGTCAAATTCTATTATTTTTAGAAGCCTAGACAGGGTAGGAGCAAACTCTAAGAGCTTGACAACAGTGCAAAGGAGTATTGGATTCCGAATTTGTGTAAGTAGCACCATGAACTCCAGCAGCAATGTATTTAGTATGAAAAGGCAATTTATTCAAAAGATAAGGTGAAAGATACACAAACATACTTTAAAATATCTTTGATATTTTTCACTTCATTACATTTATCATAATATCTGGGTAAGCATTGGTGAACGCCGCAAGGAATTCTTTGACAGGGGTTATCTGATAAGATTCAGGCTTGTGTGCATTCATTTATATTAAAAGAAGAGAAAATATAGAGAGCAGATCTACCATTCCAAGTACTGAGGACTATAAA